TATAGCGCCACTATTAGTGGCGTTATATATACTTTGGTAACTTTTTTTTTTTACACTTATTTGAATATTTTTAGTAAAAATAAACGATATTTTGGTTCCGCACTCCCACAACAACAGCACTGCTGTGTAACGACCTGAACAAAAACAGCTGCAACTATACAAACACTGTCAAAACAGTTGCAACGAAACAGCACAGCTGTAATATTAGTTTTACGGTACAAACCAAAACATCAAAACAAAAGGGTTTTGTGAGTTCCCAGATTTGCAACTACATCCAATAACCAAGATTCCTAGATTTCTAGAAATGTGGATGCCATGTCCTGTTTGAGTGACGAGAGGAGAATGGTCAAAATTTGAGCGACGAGGAGAAAGGAAGGCTAGCTATCAAGGTTCGGTATCTGAAGAAATTTAGTAGATAGGAAGAGAAAAAAAGACTCCTAGAAATGGTCATATAGATTTGATCAGGTAACCATTGCAGGATAGGTGATTATTTATGAGTTCAGTAACCACTCTTACCTTACTTTGGTCCAAGATATGCTTGTGGTCTGCTAACAAGAACAAACCAGTTAAGAAGAGACAACTGTGGATGCCATGTCACAATTTATGTGGATGCCATGTAAGCTATAAAAGCTGATATGAAGGCTTGAGTGGAGGGCCGTTTGGTTGAAGGGCATAAGTGCCCCATTTTAGCATCGGTAGGGTATTTCTAGCCAGTTTACTAACGGAGTACAAAGTGAACTATATACCATAGTTTAGGTATATTATTAAACCTTTTCCTAACTATAAATGACCAAAATTCTGAGTTGTGACACGACTCAAAGCTTCCTTCTTCGTAAAAGCCATAACATTAGCCAAATTATTTGCGCTTCAATCCTAAATTAATTCGAACTGGTTATATGAATCATCTGTACTTGCTCCGTTCTATTCGATTAACTTTTCAGTATCTGCCAGTCTATATAAGATTCCAAAGTTCACCCTGTAGACGCCTTCGCCAAACCACAGAACTTCGTCCACATTTGCACAACCCTGCAGTTCCAACCATTGAACCCGCGAGTGTTACTTGTCAATCTGATGCCAATGCAGATCAATTGTTCGATGAATTGCCTAAATGTGATGCAGTATCTGCTACAGCTTTGGTTGTCCGTTTTGCTAAATTGAATCAACACAAGAAAGCAATAACATTCTTCTCAAGAATGTTTGAGTTTTATATTAGACCCAATGAGTTCACTTTAGGCACTGTAATTCACTCCTCTGTTGTTCTGAAAGACCTTAATTCAGGAAAGCAAATTCATGCCATTTCCATAAAATTTGGCCTTCACTCAAATGTTTACGTGGGTAGTGCACTTTTGGATCTTTATGTAAAGCTAAGCAGCATTGAGGAAGCTCAGCTTGTTTTTCAGGATACCCACAAACCAAATGTGGTTTCTTACACCACTTTAATATGTGGGTATCTCAAAAAAGAGAAGTTTAATGAAGCTATTGAAATCTTTAGGACAATCCCAGAAAGAAATGTTGTTTCTTGGAATGCTATGATTAGTGGGTATAGCCAGAGAGGACGTAACGAAGAGGCTGTTAATCTTTTCGTTGAGATGTTGAGACAACGTGTTGTACCTGATCAATCGACGTTCCCTTCTTTGTTCAGTGCAGCTGCCAATATTGCAGCATTGGGAAGGGGAAAGAGTTTCCATGCTTGTGCGGTGAAATTCTTGGGCGGACTTGGTTTGTTTATAGGCAATTCTCTTGTTAGCTTTTATGCGAAATGTGGGAGCTTAGAGGATAGTTTTCGGGTTTTCAATAGACTTCCTGAAAGAAATGTTGTAACTTGGAATGCTCTAATATGTGCTCATGCTCAAAATGGGAGAGGGAAAGTAGCAATTGAATTGTTCCAGAAAATGAAAGACATGGGAATTAAGCCAAATAGTGTCACTCTTCTTGGTTTGTTATTAGCATGTAGTCACGTTGGTCTTGTTGATGAGGCTTATTCATATTTCGAGCAGGCAAGAATTCAGGATGCTAGTTTGCTGAAATCTGAACACTATGCATGTATGGTTGATATATTATCGCGTTCAGGGAGGTTTCAACAAGCTGAGAAGTTTATTCATGAGTTGCCGTTTGATCCAGGTATCGGCTTTTGGAAGGCATTGTTGGGAGGCTGCCAGATTCACTCGAATACAAAGCTAGGGGAATATGCTGCCCAAAAGGTATTGGCTTTAGAGCCCAGAGATGTGTCATCATACGTGATGCTTTCAAACGCACATTCTGCTGCTGGAAGATGGCAGAGCGTGTCAGTCGTAAGGAATGAAATGAAGGTAAAAGGACTGAAGACAGTCCCTGGGTGTAGTTGGGTTGAAATTAAATGCAAAATTCATGTATTTGTTACTGGAGACAACAGATATACCCGCAAGCCTGAGATTTATGAACTACTGGATTACTTTCTTATGCATGCAATGAAGAGCCAAGAAACTGATTTTTTTCACGAATCTTGATACACGGCTTCACAGGTATCAGTGAACTGTAAAGATACAAAGAACGCGGAGAAGACTCCCGTTCTTGTCTAGTTTGTGTTGTACTGCAGCACTGGTATCAATGCTCCAGTCCTGTGAAAAATGTTATCACCTGTAGCCAATCTAATATGCTCAAATGATGCAGTTAGATTCATTTTACTCATATAGTGTGGCAGCAATAAAGGTCAAAACTCTGACTCAAAGGAAATTGCAAAGTGCTGACAGCTGATGCGATCAAATATACCAAAACCAGCCAAAAGAGCTAGAGTGAAGCTTTGCAGATAATGCTAATGTATGAGGAATGAGGATATCCAAGTAATCTGAAAGCCTCCAAGCATGTCTAGCAACCGAGTATGTAGTCACGGATGAGCAAAGATATTCTTAACATCACTGCTTTGCTGCTTCCGAAGCACGAGGATTGAGATCAATGCTCATTAAAGCAATCCTGTACAAGGTTTGTCACTGAAACGTCGTTACAAAATTGATGGTTAAATGGCACTTCGACAGTGGTATACTCGTGATCCCACTATGCAGATTATATCGTAGTCTTACAAAAGCTTATATGCTAGTTGAACCAATAATATGATATGTCAAGGAAATGCGCATAATGTTGCAGAAACAATGATATGATCTGCCAGGGAAATGAGCACAGTGATACAGCAACTACTCGACTACTCGTAAGAACCATATAAACACAAAAAGGTTATCAGGAACTTTAGTGTGTTAATTTTGAATCTATTCCGTGACCATGTAATTTAAAACCAAAAGGAAACAGATGAAACTGAGTTTTTTATATCGTTGACAATGGGTAATGCGAAAAAGGAATCGATAAACACCTGATAATCAATATACTAAAGTTCCTGCTAATTATTCGTGATTTGCCCTTCGATCCTGGTATAGCTTTTGGAATTCATTGTTTGGAGGCTGCCAGATTCACTCGAATATAAAGCTAGAGGAATATGCTGCCCAAAAGCTATTGGCTTTCGAGCCCAGAGATGTGTCGTCATGTGTGATGCTTTCAAATGCACATTTTGCTGCTGGAAGATGGCAGTGTGTGTCAATTTTAAAGAATGAAATGAGGAAAAAAGATTGAAGAGGGTACCCGAGTGTATTTGGATTGAAATCAAATGCAAAATCCATGTACATTTGTTACTGGAGACAAAGAGACATGCCCTTAAGCCTGAGATTTATGAACTACTGGGATACTTTCTTGAGCATGCAAAAATGAAGAGCCAAGAAACTGATTTTCAAGAATTATGAAAGACAGCTGCTCCACGCTTCAATGTCCCACTGACACGACACGAAATGATGCTGAGAAAACAAAGGTATCGTCGTTGTCTCCCCCTTGTAATTCTTGATGTGCTGAAGCAGAGGTATAAATGAACTGTAAAGTTACGAAGAAGTTCAAAACTGGACCAAGTCAAGTTTATTGCAAGTGAAGTAAAGATGATATAATAGGCTCAAATAACCACACCATCACTTATCAAACGACTTCTTAAAGTTACTTGTTTGTTCAATTCCAAACAACCCCTTAAAGTTACTTGTTTGTTCAATTCAAATCATGTGGATTGATTTCACTATCCATCAAGGAATTATGAGCAGGTTCATCATTAAAACATTTTTACAAGTTGATGGTTAAATGACACTCGACGGTGTTATAAGTTATAATCCGTGATCCCGCTCGTCAAGGATATGAGCATAATGACGCGGAAACTACTCGTAAGAACCATATAAACAATAAAAAGTACCATATAATTTCTGGTATAAATATAAAAAGAAAAGAACAGAGGAATCCTCTTGAACACCTGATAACGAATAAAACTTAAACTAAAGCAAAGCTCACATTCATTTCATTGGATCTGCAAGCTTAGGATTCTTGACCCCCTCCGCCTCTAAGGGTTTAGGAACACAGCTAAGGACTCAGAGAATTTCGAGAAAGAAAAACTGCAGCATAAAAGTTGATTTCTCTTATACGGAACAAAACATGTCTCCAAAACACAAAATTCAAAATGAAAAATAGAAGGCACTTCCATTCAAGTGTATCTAAAAACTCAATCCAAGATTTTAAATTCTCGTAAAATTCTAAACAGGTAACTACTAGTTTAGATGATTCCAATTTTGTTGGCAACGTCCAATGCATCGTAGTCAGGAGTCAACCTCACATATGCTTTCTTAGTCCCATCAGGCCTGAAAAGGAACAAAAGGAAGCAGCTTAGCAAGGAATCAACATGACAATATATATGGAACACCAGAAACAGTTGAAAGAAACATAATGTCCTTGGGCAGTTCTGACATACTACCATCAATTTACATGAGGCCACCCAATTTTTATATGAAATTATACTTGCATACACCATCGCAGTTTATCTTTTTAGGCCTGCTATGGAAAGAAGAGAAACACAACACGAAACTTACCTAATCAAGGTATTGACTTTCTTTGTCTGGATGTCATACATCTTCTTCACGGCATCCTTAATCTTCCTTTTATCAGCCTTGATGTCCACGATGAAAACAAGGGTATTGTTGTCCTCAATCTTCTTCATTGCAGACTCGGTGGTGAGGGGATACTTTAGAATTCCGTACTGATCAAGTTTGTTCCTTCCAGGTGCACTGATACGAGGGTACTTGGGGTTTCTATCCTTCTTCAAAGTCTTGGGTCGGTGGAATGTAACTTTTGTCCTTATCTTTTGTGACTTCTTCTTGAAGGTTGATCCTGACTTGACGGCCTTGGCAACCTTAGCTGCCTGTGCCTTGGGATCAGATTTTTTGGACGGATCAGCTGCAAGTGCAGTTTGAAATTCGAGTTAGTAACAGCTTCAACTAGCATGAAATATGCTGCTTTAATATCGTAAGTTGATCTGTAAAGCCAGATACAAAATCAGCATCCACTTTCAAAGATACTAACAATTTCTTTTACCACAGTAACTTATTTATTGACCCATACAATTATCCACACTCCCTCTCTAATGCTCAATTCTTTATCCTAGACTAACATCTACCTCCTGCATTGTCTTTAGGTAGCAGGATGTTAGAAGATCTTCCAAATTAGAATACATGAACGCTATATAATTGATTAGAATATTTTAATGCTTTATAATATATTGTATTATGCAGGACAAAAAATAATAATTATGTCCAATCAAAGGTCTCTCAAGAGAAAAAAAAAGGAATTCTCAAAATTATAAAACTATCTACATCGCAACTGCTCTCCCATTTATCAAGACTCTGAAGCGTATTAATGTTCCGGTTGCCAAAGACAACAATAAAGTCACTTGTTCTAATAGTTTCTAGAAATTCCTGAAATGCCAAAATTTATACCAGCGCCCTACTTTTGCCTATTAACCTGACCCCAATTAATCAAGCTTATTGCAACGCCAACTAATAATCCTCCAGTTGTTTCTAAAACTAATGACTCATGACTGGTATTTTAATGATTTCAATAAAATGAAGCAAAAACCACATGAAATAAGACTACTCAACAAAATAACTGAACTCCACTTTCCACCCCCACACCAAAAACAATAAAAACCGTAGAGATTCAAACAATCTTCAACCGAGCATCATGTTATTACATTACTATTAGCCTCACAACATTGAATCTACTAACAACTACCCCATAACAAACGAGTAACAAGTTGGGTTCAGCTATATGAATCCTCATTACATTCATATCCTTACCGGAAATAATAACAAAAATACTGAAATCTTCTTCCAAAAGCTTGTCAACGCCAATAATAACACAAAGAATAGCACAAATTATAGCAAAGTCCAATAATTAGTTATATTCTCACACACAAAAAAGGCAACAAGAATCCACATTTCCAACAACATAACAAGCATATCCTTCACATGTTTTCTTAAATAAACTCAAATTACAGCAAAAATGAGCCCCGATAAAATAAATCAAATGGAAAAAAATAGTGTCAGAAGTGTACCTTTAGCTGGAGCCATTTGGTTAGGTACAGTCTGAAACCCTACGATAAATCTACCAGCTTACCTACAAATAAATAAATTAAAAACGACTGTAAGATTTAGGGTTAGAATGAAGATAGAAATTAGGGTTTGATTGAGGAATACAGAGGAGTGAGTACCTGAGAGAAGCTGCTCTGCCGATTAGGGTTTTACGAAGAGAAGCAGCATGCTTTATTTATAGTAGGGCTCAGCTATCGAAAATGTTACAAGCCCAATTTCAGCAAATAATCGAGGCCCAGGTCTCATGGTTTTAACCATACCATAGTGGTAAGAGAACTGTAAAATTGTTAATCGGGCCGGGCTGACCCGTTTTCAACCTGCTTTGATCCGGACCAGCTTGTTACTGTAGCTTATAGGTGCGGGCTAGGATGGTTTGAGCGGGGGCGGGTTTTAGATGAACACATTTTGAATACCGGTGCACCGGAACCCGCTAACCCGTAACGGGTTGTTAATGGGCTGCAACCCAGTACAGCCCGGTATCCGTTACAAAAAAAAAAAAAAAATTTGGACCGTTGCCAACGGTCAAATTCATAAATGATTGTTGGGGAACGGCCAGATTTTGCACAAATGGTCATTTCGGCCACCCCCATTAAAAAAACAATCCTCCCACCCCTAATAATTGAAAAATTACAATTTTAACCTTTTAAAACCTATAAATAGTCCTCCTTCTTCTTCATTTTTTCTCACAATTCACTCTCTTACTACTCTAATTCTCTCTTAATATTATTGATTATTGTTCTTAAATTCTCAATTACTTATTATCTCAAGTTTCATCAAATATTTAGTTTAGCCATTACAAAATTATTATTATCAAATATCAAGTATTCAAGTGAAGTGTGGTATCAAGTACTATCAAGTATCAACTATCAAGTTTCGGTCTATCAAATGAAGTTTGATTTTTGATATCAAAATTAGTGCGACATCCGGAATCCCGGTACACTCATTCCATCTCTTTCTCTTTTTGGTGTACACTTATTTTATTATTTAGAATTATTAATTTAATTTACATAATAAATTTACTTAGAGCAACCAAAAAGGCGTGCACTAGTAGAGGTGGTAGTAAGAAAACTTTCATAAGATCAAGAGATGATGTTGATTCTTCTAGTAGCTTTACACATATTTCTCAAAGTTCACGTGAAAATTTAAATGTAGATTATGAGCGAATGCAAGAAAATTATGGTATAGATGATGATTTAGATGATATTTTAGATGATATTCAATCACCCGATAATTTTGATACACCACCACCTACAATTTAAATAATTTTAGAAAAAGTTTTGTGTATGCCATTTGATAATGCTTCTAACAACAATACTGCTATTACAATTTTATCTACACCCATCACTTCCCGAAATATTTCATGTTAGATGTGCATGTCATATTTATAACTTGATTATGAAGAGTGTCACACCTTCTTTTTTACTACACCCGAAAGGGGTATAGGGAGTTTTTTTCAATTTAAGTGACAATCGAAACGGGGTTATTTTTTATTAATCAGAGTCGCCACTTGGGATAATTTTATGGTGTCCCAAGTCACCGGTTCAAATCCCGAATCGAGAAAAAGATTGACTCTGTATACAGTCCGCGAACACAGAAATCCGGGTAAGAAATTTTGTTAACCCGGGAGAAGGTGTTAGGCATTCCCGTATTCCGTGGTTATAGCACGGTCGCTCAACTGTTATAATTGGCCTATTATCTTATTTTAATACATGTTTTAACCTATGGTATATTTTAACTTATTTAAGCCGCTTTTAATTAATTTTAGGAAGATTCAACGTCATCTAAAACACGTTTTGAACCACGTCACATAAATGCACCCGCGGTCCATGACACATTTTATCTAACGTTGTTGAGATTTGGATTTGGGTCACATAAATGCACACCCGAATTTGGGAATTAAGTATCATGACTATGTCACGGGAACCGTACCCATAATCACGATCTTTTATTATTAATTGCGCCTAAAGCAACTAGCACACTTGATTATTTTTCGAATTTTGAAATTTATTTTTTTCGAAATAAATACTTACAAAGAAGAAAGAAAATATTTTTTGGATTTCGATTTGTATTTTTTTTAAGAAATTTTTGAAAAGAAAGACGTCTAAAGAAGAGGAAAAAAATATTTTCTTGAATTTTAACTTCTTCTTTTTTCTGGAAATTTCGAAAGAAAAACTTCTAAAGAAGAAAGGAAATATTTTTGGACTTTTACTTTTATTTATGAAAGGAATGCTTCTAAAAAAAAGAAAATATTTTTTAATTTTGAATTTTCTTTTCAATTTTAAAAGAAGAATGAAAATATTTTTGGAAGAAATTAAAAGAAAATATTTTTGTATATTTTTTTTAAAAAACGATTAGGGTCTAAAAGAATTGCTTTCTAAAGAAGCATGGAAAATATTTTTTGGATTTTTTGAAAATTGGGATCTCAAAAAAAAAAAGACTTTTCTAGAGAGGAAGTAAAGGAAAATATTTTTGGATTTTTTGAAAATTATGGGCCGGAATCGATAAGGTTTGCCTACGTATCTCAAATCCGGTGAGAATCAGCCCCGCGTAGTTCGTCCAATTTTGACGGAATAAAGGAAAATATGACTTATTTTGAAATGACTTTTCTTTTTCTTTTTTCAAAATTTCAACAGAATTTTAGGGTAATTCAAATACCTACCTCTCACTCTCTTTTCTTTTCTCTTTTTTTCGATTTTCATTTTTTTTCCTATTCTAGAAGCCAGTCAGCATGCAAGCTGAAGCAGATGAATGCGCAAGTAGCAAGTAGGATGCATCAGGATGGTTTTTTCATTTCGGGTACACCTGTCCTAGACAGACCCAAGCCCTGTGTTGAGTCTCCAAAGTCAAATGCACATGATGCAAACAAACGTTCCTACTAGGGATCCGGTATGAGGCTGAGTTATTCTAGGTTTAAAACTTGGGCATATTGTTCTAGACCTGGCTTACCCGAGCGGACAACTCGAGCCGAGGGGGGGGGGGGCAGCGTACTGGTAACCAAAAGATATCCGGCTTTGCAACTTGTCCGAACCTCGTTCTATTTGGGATATGACACTAACAGAAAGAAGTCACGCCAACGTGCACTCCTCAGAAGAGAGAAGAGAGGGGTTGCGTAGCAGTTTATATACAGTTCAAATAATATCAAAGCGGTAAAAAGCAACATTTAGCACATTAGGTCCAAACATGTAATAAAATCAGATAATAAATATAGCCAAATATAACAATTATTCTATGCTCGAATTCTTGAACCCTGAACCAGAAATTGTCACACCTCCTTTTTACTACACCCGAAGGTACATACAAGGAAGTTTTTTCCAATTTAAGTGACAATCGAAATGGGGTCATTTTTTATTAAGCAGAGTCGCCAGAGCTGTCACACCTTCTTTTTTACTACACCCGAAAGGGGTATAGGGAGTTTTTTCCAATTTAAGTGACAATCGAAACGAGATCATTTTTTATTAATCAGAGTCGCCACTTGGGATAATTTTTTGGTGTCCCAAGTCACCGGTTCAAATTCCAAATTGAGGAAAAGATTGACTCTGTATTATAGTCCGCGAACACAGAAATTCGTGTAAGGAATTCCGTTAACCCGGGAGAAGGTATTAGACATTCCCGTGTTCCGTTGGTTCTAGCACGGTCGCTCAACTGTTACAATTGGCCTATTATCTGATTTTAATACATGTTTTAACCTATGGTATATTTTAACTTATTTAAGCCAGTTTTAATTAATTTTAGGAAGATTCAACGTCATCTAAAACACGTCTTGAACCACGTCACATAAATGCAACCACGGTCCACGACACATTTTATTTAATGTTGTTAAGATTTGAATTTGGGTCACATAAATGCACACCCGAATTTGAGAATTAGGTACCATGACTATGTCACGGGAACCGTACCCATAGTCACGATCTTTTATTATTAATTGCGCCTAAAACAACTAGCGCACTTGATTATTTTCCTAATCTTTGAGATTATTGTGATGCCAAATTTATGATGGGGAGTGAATACGCTAGCTAACATGATCTATTACTTGGCCAGATTCCTTATGGTTCAAGACCCACCTTATGGCCCATTATAATTCCTTGCCAAGAAAGAAACAACTCTTATTTTTCAATCTACCCAATTAAAAGCATTTGTTCAAGAACCGAAGACTACATGCATCACAATCGAAATAAAACTAATTAAAACAATTTAAAGGAAAACTAAGAAATGCTACCAAACAACGTCGAATCACAAATCAACAGTGTAAACGAGTCCTCAAAATAATGAGTAAATTACACATTTCTTTGGAAAATTAACTGAAAAGTGATCGAACACTTGAGCCAATTTGGCTCTACTTAATTAAGTGATTGCAAAACCATTTTTTTAAGAAGACGAATACAAATAGCTTACTTACATCGTCAAAAGAAAAATTCAGCAAAATAATTAACCTCCACTTGGATCTTACAACTCATGCAGTCATAGTAGTAATAACTAATAACTCAATACTTAATAGATACAAATAAAATTATTAAACAAAACCAAACTTAGAACTTATCAAAATAAAGTGCAATAATAATTCACAAAAAAAAAACTGCAAAACTCACAACCAAAATGTACAAGATTTCTAACACATCAACAGGCCAGCAATAAAGTTGAAATCGTGATTATAAATCCATCAAAAATTAAAATCTAGATCTATATTTTACGTCAACAGGAATCAATGAAGATCTAAGAAACATACCAAAGCCATGATAGGCGAGCTGAAGCAACGAAACTAACGAACCGGAACCTCGACATGGAAGCCTCGAAACTCGCCGGAAAGTGAAAAAATGAGAGACGTGACTATGTGTGTGCGTGTATGGCTGCTTAGGGTGTGCTGTTGTTGTGGGTCGTTTAGTTCTATTTGTCATGGCTGGAGCTCGTTAACCCGGCTAGTTTGGGGCTGAATCGACGGCGGCTGAAGCTGGTTCAGGTCTTCGTTCCTCCAAGTGAAGGAGAAGATGAATCTGATGGAGAGGGGGTCATTTTTGTTCTATTGCGGGTCTGTTTTCAGATTTTCCCTAGGTTTTAGGCCTATTTTTCGTTGTCTTTTTCGGCTCTTTTCAAGTGTATATCAGCTGATTGTTCAATTCTCAATGTCTCTTTTCCTTGTATTCTTTTATTGACTCACCAGATGAAGAAGATCATTTGGGATGGGTTTCTCATTTTTTGGAAAAAGGCGGATGATATTTTTTGGCCCTCCCTCAATTTAGGGAT